GAATCTGCACCATCGCAAGTCACTTTTTGTAATAGTATAAACAAGAGAGTTTTATATTGTGTGCTTTGATTTTGAAAAAAAGGGGCATTACTCTTGTAGTAGCCATGTTGACCCTGATTGATATTTTTACGTTTTGTTTTTCCTCCCCTGTATGGAGGGAACAGAGTTCCTTGAATAAATGGAGATGAGTTCCCATGCTCCAAAGATATTTAACTCTGTGCTTCTCAGTGTGCAGGTTTCCAGCCATCATAGCTCACACGTTACAGGGAGTACTAATTGAAGGAGGTAAAAAAAATTATCCTTTTTGTTAGAGCATCACTTTTCTGTTTCTGTCAGGAGTTAAGTAAGGATTTTATCTTTTCTTTTTTGTAGGTAAATATATGGTTAAGTAGATAGTTTTGTTTGACAATACTTTAAATTAAATAAAACTAGGAACACATTACGTTCTGTTTTATTTACTTTAAAGAAGTGAGGAGTAGGGAGACGAAAAATTGTGTTTTTTGATACTGAGACTGGACAAGTAGATCTCGGCAAACTGCCGACTTCAAAAGTAGCTCTTGGTTCATAAAAGGTTGGGCACCCCTGCTGTAGAGCCATAAGGCGCTGTACTAGCAAAAAAATTGGAAAGCTTTAAAGTGCTTGTGACATGCTTACTTCAAATACAAAAAGTCAAAGAAAACATCTTTATATTCAAGAAACCTGGCATAATACACTTGATTTTTCCCATTTTGTCACATAACTGGATTTTTTTCTTTTGAATTTGGCTCAGCCAAAGTGTAACAGGAAGTGATATCAAAGGGGAACTCTTTAAGAAAGAATACTCCATGGTCTTTGTTCAATAAAACAATATTATTTGAACTCTGACTCTTTTTTTAATCTYTCTCTGATAGTGACTCAAAATAATCTAAAGAAACATCAGATTCTTCTCTACAGTCTGTGTTGTTAGCTGTTGTAGCAATGCTCTGTTTACATTCAGACATTCCCCTTTGTCATCACTTCCTGTGATTTGCATGTAAATATCTCAACAGCTGTTTATCGCAGAGGCATGATTTTTTTTGTAATGTTTTATCAATGTTATCTTTCTAAAAAAAACATTCAAATATACTACAAAAAATTGATGTCACAGGCACTTTAAAGCGATTTTTTTTTCAAGAGAGCAATTGGTGAAGGTTCAGTTGGTCTGTTCAGCTGACCCACACCAGCCATGAAAATTAAGCCTCACACTTTCTTCTGGTGTTCCTTTTAACTCCCCTATCCTCCTCCATCTTTGGTTCCACCAGTCATCCGTTAACTCGTTTCTCCGTCTGTCCTCCCTCTCCCACTCTCCGTTCACTGAACCCTATTCCGTCAGCATCCAAGGGGACAGTGAACGATGGGGCTCGGTGTCAGATTTGTCACTGATCTGGGTCTGCCAGCACACCATGGGGAGTGGGGAAAAAGTGYGAGTCTGACTGCTCTTCGTCTCCTGCTCTCATTAGGTATAGTTTCCTGAACTGCAGACCCTTCTGCTTGACTTGCGAAGTGAACACAGACCTGCAGTCAAAGCAGGCCTATTGTCAGCACTTTTTGCATTCAGCTTATACATCTACTGTTAAAACTTTCTCAGTCTTATTTGACTGCCCTAGCTCTTTTTTTTAATATAAATGTATGGACAAGTTTTCTCAATTTACTTCAAACAAAAAGAGTTTACTTTATGTGATCCAACAAACCTTTTCTGTAACTATTTAAAAGTGATTTGTACGCAGAAAGCTGCAATGAGTAATAAAAAAATAATGGTTTAGGAATTTTTGCCCATTAATTAGTGGTATTTGTTGACAACGGCCGAGCTCTGAGCCCTCTGAAGATGGTGAAAAGGATCCTAAAGATTGTTGTAGTTATGTCTGCCACACTGCTGCGCTGCTGAGAGTAAACACTTTATCTTTTTAGTCTGCTGGATTTTCAGTGAAAGCCTCGCTCTGTTCATTTGGTGCTCACTGACTGTTTGCTACAGCTCCTCCAGGAAACTAGGATGATTTTTTTTTCTGTCTGCAAGCAGAGCTGAAATCATTCTCCCAGATCCCAGACTAAATCGCACCACTTTTTCATCTCGAGAGTGAACTGCAGATGACTCTTCCCATATTTTTGGATTCAGTTGCTGACTTGTCTCGCATTAGCAAAGCCAGATATATTGTCGTAGCACATGGGTGTTTTATTACACTTTATGTTCAAATTATTTCTCAACAAATTCGCCACCTACTTTGGATATTCTGGCCTCTGTTGGTTCAAGCAGGTGGATCAGAGTCAGACTCTGTGTTATGAATATTTGCACTGAGTTCAAGGATCCACTGAGGCTTTAGGCTTCAGGTTTACTTGTGAGCAAACATTTTAGCTTCATTATTATTCAAAGTATACTTCAGAGCTCATTGATTTTCTGCCTTGGAACAACTTTTTTTTTTTATTCCTTGGCTCTTGAGCATCTTCAAATGTGTTTCATCCATAATTTAATTTTTGTAAGACAATAAAGTTTCATAGAAATAAAAAAATGTCAGCAATGCCCATAACCTTTTGAATAGTTTAATTAAAAACAACAAGGGTTTTTATATCCTTTCCATAAACAAAAAAAAACAATGCATTTTTCCAGATACAATCCTSTGAAGGTTTTAATGTTGGTACAGTCAGCTGTCCTGGCTGCTTACTAACCCCTCCCTGCAGTCCCTCCCTCAACCCAAAACCATATTTTAATGTTTCCGCCTGTCAAGTGGTGCCAGGATGAGATGTAGGCTGGATATTGTTTTGCTGTGGAGGTTTGAGCTGTTGTGTTTCCCATAATTGAACATAAGCCTCCGAGTACAGCTCAYAGGATGATGGTAATACAGCAAACAAAGCAAAAAAGAAAACATTTTCAACTCTTCCTCCCTCCCTATTTTCTCCCCTTTAAATCTCTCCATTTTCTCTTTTGGTTATGTTTCTTTCATATTTTTATTTTGAGTTGCACCTGCTGTTTTTCAGTTTGCACATGTTCTGCCCTGTGGCCACATTATACAGCTGCTCCTCTCTTTAGTCAGCAGAATGATTCATTGACCTTTAATGTCATTACAAAGGTTTGCAGAGACATTTTGAAGTGTGAACAGATGCAGCTGCCACACTCATGTTATAACTGTTCCCTTTTTTTCTTACTAGATTCTTGTGGTATTATTCTTCTTGTGGTACTGAGGTTTATCAAGGTATTCTAAACCCAATTGCTGTTTTTCTTCCAGGTTTGTCCTTTGGACTTCAGTGAAATATGTTGGATGACATTAAAAAAAATAGAAAATTTAAACTTAATAATGAAGGTTACAAAAACCATAACAAACCATAACAAAACTGAACKCCTCCTTGTTGGGACAAAAAACTCCATTTCCAAATCCCAGCATCTTAGCTTCACTCTTAACAACTCMGTTCTTTCCCCMTCRCCTCAGGTCAAGAACCTAGGTGTCATCCTTGACACCACACTCTGTTTCACAYCCCACATTAACAACGTGACYCGATCTGCCTACTTTCATCTTYGCAGYATTAACCGTCTCCGTCCTTCWCTCACTCCCCGCTCCACTGCCATCCTTGTACACAGCCTAGTAACATCCAGGATCGACTACTGCAACTCCCTACTGTTTGGCCTCCCCAATAAATCCCTCMACAAACTACAGATGGTTCAGAACTCAGCMGCCCGTGTAATCACTCAAACCTCATCCTCTGCCCACATCACTCCAGTCCTACAACAGCTCCACTGGCTCCCAGTTAAATCCCGCATCATCTTTAAAATTCTCCTACAYACCTTCAAAGCTRTCCACAATCTTTCMCSTSCTTACCCGTTTGACCTCCTGAACATCTCCACACCCTCYTGCTCTCTAAGATCTGCCTCCTCCCTCCAACACTCAGTACCCGCTGCCCGCCTCAGCACCAYGGGGAGCAGAGCTTTCAGCCGCTCTGCTCCGCAGCTCTGGAACTCACTACCCCATGCATTACGAAATGCCACCTCTCTTACCCTGTTTAAGACTGGCCTGAAGACACATCTTTTCAAATTAGCCTACCGCTGTTAATTCTGATTTTCAATATATGTCTGTTTTTGTTGTCCTCACTTTGATGTTTCTCCCCCACAACCCCATTGTTGAATTTGTCTACATTTTTGTATTTTATTGTGTGACTGTTCTGTACTCCACATCTCTGTTTCTCCCACACTACCTTATGTACATATATGTATCTACATTTTTTTTCTTTTTCTATTGTAC